GAGGAGGAGAAGTCTGTGCATCACCTGAAGCTCTTTGGAGAACAGGTGGGATATAAATGTAGTAATTAATAATAAAAGCAAAGATGGTCATTGGGAGTCCTGCATTGTGAGTATATTATAATAAATGGGAATTATAATGGTGTAGGCTAGGAAGGAGGGATTCTGTCAATTTCAGTTCCTTATTTTCCCAGTATTAAATTAAATTTGCCCTGCTCCCACATTAGTTTGCAATAATTAAAAAACTCAGCTCAAATATTTACATTCATTCATGTGCACTTTTCCCCCTAATATGTGCAGTTTTATAGAAAATTTTATTTATTTACAAAAATATTTTATATATCATAAAATTCATAAAAATATTTTGCCACATGTATACATTTTACTAAGCCGTTTCTCCTAATATAGTGCATTTTTCTGCACTATTTTCACTAATATACCTATTTGTGTTTGCACTTTCCTCCAATACATACATTTTGTACAAATGTTTCGGTTGGTGAACTGCATCGCAAAATTCAGAATACTGTGGATTTCAAAGGACAGCTGAGTTTCTTTCTATGCACTGATTCAGGAAGTGCGAATTAGGTTTGTTTGCATTACAATTAGCAAACAAACAAAAAATCTCTAGCTTGGGCCACATCTCAGTGGTACAACATCTGCTTGGCATGCAGAAGGAAATGGGCATGTAGCCCATTTCTAGCTAAAAGACCTCTGGTAACAGGACTGGAAAAAATCTCAGACTTTCCCTGAGCCGCGATCCAGCCATGCTGATCTGCTGATTTTCAGTGTATTTTGTTTCAGGAATGCAGTTTGATTGTTGATTTTATGCTCTTGACTTCCATAATGTTTTTTCTTAATGTTGGTGGTAAATATTTTTTTGCAAATGAATAAATGCATGAATGCTAAGGCAGGGGATGGGGAACCACCGCTGCTTCCCCCACAAAGGATGCATTCACACTGGGGAAAGTCACCAGGGACTACGTACCAGTGGTGGGGAGGGGCAAAAGCCAAGTGGGTGGGGCCAAACCTTACAAATACACACCCACCCTCTACACTCTCTCTCTGTGTGTGTGTGTGTGTGTGTGTGTGTGTGTATGAGAGAGAGAGAGAGAGAGAGAGAGAGAGAGAGAGAGAGAGAGGAATGACAACACCAGAGATAATGTTTTCTACTACAGAACACAAGTGACAAGTATGGTGGGAGAAAGTAAAAGGAAGAGAAAAAGAGAAGAATTCATGAGCGATCTTGCAAACAGAGGGAAAGTACAGCATTCTGAAGGGAATGCAAAGCCTCAGTTTGCTGGATGTCCTCAAATGACTAGCTCCTGAGATATATTGCCCACATAAAAGTTCATGTGCTGCCCGTATTTTGCTGTAGGCCATTTTGTGCAATGGGAAAAGTCTGAGGTGACTAAATTTATGGATCCCATTGACAATACATGCATCATAGATAAAATCATAGTGCTGAGAGAAGAGGAAGAAATAAATTCCAGTGATATCAGAGTGGTGAGAAGCATCATCGTATAAGTACATAAAGAAGATTCCTTCTGGATCAGACCAAAGGTCCAGCCAGTCCAGCATTTCCCCCCATCCCCAACAGTGGTCAACCACATACCTTGGGAAGCTTCCAAGCAGGAAACAAAAGCCACTTGCAGCATCTGAAATTCCCTAGCATCCAAGGCCACCTGAGTATCCAGTGAAGATGCTGGATGCAAGAATAGCCCCAAGCTACAAATCGGCTCCCTCCAGATGAGGCTGTTTCCTTACCTCCTGGGACTAGGAACTCAAAATGATTAACATCTTTGTCTTCTCAGGCTTCAGCTTCAGTTAGTTGACCCACATCCGGCCCATAAGTGCCTCCAAGCACCAGTCTAGGACCTCATCTGCCTCTTTTGATTGAGATGGAACAGAGGGATAATACTGGGTATCATCAGCAAATTGGTGATACCTCATTCCAAATCTCCTGATGACCGTTCCCGGTGGTTTTCGGTAGATGTTAAATTTCAAGGAAAACTATTTGTAATTTGAATAGGTGGTGTATCACTGTAATGATACATATGTGTAACCACGACTTGCAAAATGACTTGAAGGGCTACACAGAACTAGGTTCCTCTTGCCTATGTGGTGGTACTGCCCTCAAATCCAAATTTCCCCCAAATTTCTTTGAGCATTGAAACAACACAATTTATTTATACCAACATAATCAAACATTGGGCCTGGATGAAGAAAAGCTCTTGGCCATTCACTAAAAAAATGCAAAAGAAGAAAACAAGAAGATGGTCATGATATGCAATAGGAATGTAAATATTGCATTAAAAATTATTTCCAGCAGGCATACTTTGGGCATACTTGCATAGATTTAACGTCAGCTAAATTCCCCGAGAAACAAACATTGCTGTCAGACTGCGTGCATGTGACAAATGCATTTGGAACAATTAGGTGCAAAGGCTTGTTTGAGGATAAGAGCTAGATAATGCACTTTTGATGTAAAAGTCTGCATTTTTCATCGCTGTCATCACTGGTTTATTCATCTCGTGCAATTCATGCAGAAACATCCCCTTAGCACTGTGCAATCCAGGACACAGGCGAGCTGAAAGTCACAGCTGATAAATGCAGAGTTCACTTAGCCAAAGAAAGAAATTATGACCCAAAGACCTTCAGGGATTTTACCTCCTTACAGGCTTCTGGAAACACATGATGTTCTTAAAACTCAGGTGCTTGGATTGCACATCAAAGGGGCTCTGCCCAAGGGGCTAAAAGCTGTAATTGCAGCTACCTGCATCTGTGAGTGACTTGGATATGGTTAAGCTCTTGACAGCAAAGTGTCAACCTTGAAAGGATTGATTAATCTTTTCTTTCTGAATGTCGATAGCTCTTTCAAGTGTGAATGCGTGGCAATGGAATCTTTCTGATGTAACAACCTGGAAGAACACGCTTAGCTTGCTTTCCACTCTCCTAGCACTGTTGAAAAACCCTGGGAACCTATCACAGATCTGGCTCTGCCAAATGGAGCAGGTGTCCCAGGTGTGGAGCTGATGAAGGCTGCCTAAGGGCTAGGTGCAACAGGACAGAGATAGGGCGGAATGAAATCCACAATCCCACAACAATTTCTTGTGGTAAAAAGTAAAGGACCCCTGGGTGGTTAAGTCCAGTCAAAGGTTACTATGGGGTTGTGGCGCTCATTTCACTTTCAGGCCGAGAGAGCCAGCATTTGTCCACAGACAGCTTTCTGGGTCATGTGGCCAGCATGACTAAGCTGCTTCTGGAACAATGGAACACCATGATGGAAACCAGACTGCATGGAAACGCTGTTTACCTTCCTGCCGCAGTGGTACCTATTTATCTAGTTGCACTGGTGTGCTTTCGAACTGCTAGGTTGGCAGGAGCTGGGACAGAGCAACGGGAGCTCATCCCGTCATAGGGATTCGAACCACCAACCTTCCAATCAGCAAGCCCAAGAGGCTCAGTGGTTTAGACCACAGTGCCACCCGCATCCTTTTACCTTTTACTACCTTTTTACCTTTACCTTAATTTCTTATGGAGAGTACAAGGATCAGTAGGCCTTTAGGGCAGAAGTCCAGGACCCCACTCTGATGTGGCAATAGGACTTCTTCTCTTGGCTCTTATCCTCTGCCTTTCCATCTTTGAGTAGAAACCACCATCCATCAGTGGACCTGGAAGAAGGAAGAAGGGGATGGAATGGGGACAGGGCACAAAGGAGCAGGGACACTTAAAGCCACTCCGCTGACACATGTGTGGGGCAGGAACAGAACCCTCATGCAAAACGGTCACCACCTGTAAGTGTAACCATAAATGTTACAAAATCAATTTTTAATAATACCAGCAAGGATGTACACTTCATAACTTTTAAAAGGAGGTTAGAACAGCGCTCCCCATGTTTTGGGCTACAACTTCCATTTCATTGGCTAGCAGAAGCTCTGGGTGGCATCAAGCCAAGTTATAGTCAGAGTAGACCCACTGAAATTAATGGACCTAAGTTAGTCATGTCTGTTGGTCTGCTCTGAGTACAACTAATGTTTGATACAATCCTCTGGTTTTAAAAATCTGATCAATTATCACCGTCTCCCAACAAATGGGGGAGAAACATTTACACATTAAGTAATGGAATATCTAGGAAAGTTTATGTCCTCAGTCTCTCCGTTACGACAGACAAAAACACATAAATTATAAAGATATATCCCTTCAAGCACAGGAGGGGGCATTTAGTTAAATGCTGAAAAGGGTCAGCACATTTTTCAGTGTGAGATTATTAATTCCAGTGAAATAATTCTCCAGTCCGTGTGGGTATTTAAACATGACATACCGACAAGCAATCTTGGCATTAGTTAAGGAGAATAAATCAGGCTGAGAATGTGAATGTACATCTCTCACCCACTTTTAAGAAATCCAGTTTTGCAATATTAGACTTGGATCCTAAAAAAATAATCAAGGGGGAAACCAGATGACTCAATCAACTGCCTAAGGTTCCGAAAAAATACCTTTTACCGGCTTTGGTTGGTAAGACAACTACCACCATTTCTGGATCAGGATAGCCTGACCACTGTCATCCATGTGCTGGTAACTTCCAGACTGGATTGCTGCAATGCACACCATGTGGGGCTGCCCTTGAGGCTGACCCAGAAATAGCAACTCATGCAAAGCACTTGACATCTCATTGGGGGCAGAATTTTACCATCATATTACACCACTGTGGATACAAGTGCACTGGGTGCCAGTTAGATACTGGGGTAGCTTCAAGGTGCTCCTAGTGGCGTACACATGCTTTGGCATGTACATAGATTGTGTGCAGAACTGATTTACACTCCAAGGCCACCACACAAACATCAAGGACTTGGGAGACCACCGACGTGGTCTGTGTATGTTGTTCCTAATTGCTACTGCCAGTATGAACACATTCAAGAGTTTTGCCAGATATCTCCCCTATCATTCTTGGGCTCATTTGGGATTGTGGTGAATTTTGTTGTCATTGTCATCCCCTTGAAGGAGGGAAGTGCCATAGCTTAGTGGAAGAGCATCTGCTTTGCATGTAGAAAGTTCCCAGTTCAAATCCTGGCACCCCCAGGGCTGAATCTAGACATAAAAAAAAAGTTTCAGGAAAACGTGTTCTAACGCTCATAATGGGAATCACGTTGCTGAAGGATCACACTCTATGGCGCTATCGGGTGTCACAGTGTTATGATGCATTTAAAACACTCCCCTCCCCCCAGTAATGTAACTGAGTCCCAGGCCCAGGTCTGAAAACCACTGAGAGCCACTGCCAGTCAGGGCAGATAATACAGAGCTAAATAGACCAATGCCTCAGTATAAGGCAGCTTCCTACATTACATTTGTGGACTTGAAAAATGACAGCAAATGTGGGTTGCATTCACTTGCCTGATTGAAGGTGGACATACAAATTAAAATGATTTCTGGTACCATTTCTGAATCCATCAGAATTCTCATTCATCCCTAATGGAGCTTAAGTAAGAGTCAAGGGCCAGTTCATTTGGCTTCCATATGTGGAACAGAGGTTTAATCTCCTCCTCAGGCAACAAAATGTCTGCTGTTTGGCACTTCCGCATTCAGGCGAACTTCCTGCTGATGTGTTGTGAACAGGGAGGAGTGTCGGCCGCAATCCTTTCTCGAGAGCTGCTGAACAGCCCGCTCTCCATGAGGATTGTGAGCGATTTTCTCTCTCTTTGGAAGATGAGAGACAAGTAGAGCCAGCCTCTCAGAGCAACACTGAGCTGTCTAAGTGAAGCCATCTGAGTCAAGCAGGCCTGTGGTGGTGTTTTTCCCTCCAGAGAGCAGCACGCTTGCCTGTAGGCTCCTTGTCTATCTCCACCCCCTCAACTAAGTGTGTGTTTGTAACTGTGCCTTGAGAACAAAGCAGATAGCTCAGTCCATAGAGCATGAGTCTCATAATCTCCAGGTCATGGGTTTGAGCCCCATGTTGGGCAAAACGATTCCTGCATTGCAGGGAGTTGGACCCAATAACCTGCGTGGTCCCTTCCAATTCTATGGTTTTATATGACAGCTACTTTTCTATATGAGAGCTACCAGGTGGGGTGTGTTTGTGCACTGCATTCGGACATAATGTTATGCCTGCACACTGTCATGTCACCCTCAGAGGCGTGGTCAACCCGCTGGCCAAAGAAGGTGAGTCAGCTAATATCAGAATAGCTAGACTGGCCCAACCTTTTATCTTTTTGTTATGTTCTGATCTGTCACCTCAACCTGTCTTGGGTTTCAGAGGATCACAGTGTGTGTACGGGGGAGAACGAACAAGAAATAAACTCATTGGCTGAAAAGAAGCTGCATGCTTGGTCAAACCACCCCATGTTTCAAGAGCTGGGCTTTTTTTGTCTTCGCATCCCAAGGGGCTTGCTCTGTAAGCTGATCCTTAGAAATGCTTGCGCAAAACATTCTAGACATAATAATTTCCATATTTTTGGCAAATCTTTGTATGTTTGAAGAATTTTAGTAGGTTGTCTAAAGTTCAGAGGCCAGTCAAATGATATCATGTTTCTTTCCTCAAGTCTCTGTGGTTTTTCCAGTCAGGCGGTGGAGATTCATAGGCAGAAGGACTCCGGGCTTCTAGTTTTAACTATTTAAGAGCTGCCTTTAAGATGCTCTCTTTGTGAATGTTAGGAAAATGTTGGAATGAAGTTATATGGCTTTAGTAGAAATGTTATAAGGAATTAAGTATAAATAGATTAATTGAGTATTAAAGGGAAAAATAAGGTTAGAATGTGTTAAGATAATTAAAGCAGAGGAAGATGGAAAGGAATTGCTGAAACAATTAACAGAAGTGGAATACAAAAAGGGAGGTGTGAGGAGGTCATGAAAATAAGTGAATGAAAGATAAGATATTGAAACTGTTTGATGTGTTTTAAACTGTTTTTGTTTTGTTTTGTTAGTTTAATGTGTTAGTGTGATGTACTGTTTTTGTATTGTATTGTTTATTTTATTTTTTGTAGTGTTTAAATTGTTGGAAAAGTAATAAATACTATTTTAAAAAAAATTAAGATGCTCTCTTTGTAGCTCCCATGCCTTGATCCCATGCTTTGCCTCTGGCCTACAGAGGTAGGGAGCAGGCAGCTCTCTGCCACCCACATCACTCAAAAAGCTCTAATGTTTCAAAATAATCTGAGATAATCTGAGCCCACTCCATCATCTTGGCTGCCATTTAGCTTCTCCTCTCCTAGAACGGTCATCTATGCAGCCATTGCACTGGGTTGTAGCAGACAGAGCATTGTGTCAGCACAGCCAACTCCATTGGTCAGCTGGGACCAGTTGCCATTTGTCTCCAGCTGCCCCAGGCTGTCATGTATTCACCACATGTAATTGGAGGAAAGGTGGAGGCAGGGCTAGGAGGAAGGCTTGCAGAGAACATAAAATAGGAACCCTGTCTACCTCAGGGACTACATAATAACAATAACAACAATAACAATAACAATTTATTATTTATACCCCGCCCATCTGGCTGGGTTTCCCCAGCCCCTCTGGGAGGCTTCCAACAGAATATTAAAATACAATAGTCTATTAAACATTAAAAGCTTCTCTAAACAGGGCTGCCTTCAGATGTCTTCTAAAAGTCTAGTAGTTGTTTTTCTCTTTGACATCTGGTGGGAGGGCATTCCACAGGGCGGGTGCCACTACCGAGAAGGCCCTCTGCCTGGTTCCCTGTAACCTGGCTTCTCACAGCGAGGGAACCGTCAGAAGGCCCTTGGCACTGGACCTCAGTGTCCGGGCAGAACAATGGGGGTGGAGATGCTCCTTCAGGTATACTGGGCCGAGGCATTTTAGGGCTTTAAAGGTCAGCACCAACACTTTGAATTGTGCTCGGAAATGCACTGGGAGCACAATTATCTGAGGCCTTTGAGCCAACCTTTAGGAGCTTTCACACACAGTATTATATGTGTACAGGCAATGACTGATTTAGGAGCATCCGATTGACACATGAATCACAGTGACCCAGAAATGGCTGGAAAAGGGGACAGAATGGGGCTCGGTCAGGGTAGGGGTGGAACAGGAAGGGTGGACTTATGTCCCCCCCCCCCATTGTGCACGATGACCTGGAACACAACTCCCATACAAATTGGGGGTTGCCTGTACTAATAGAGATTTTATGTTCCAAGTGCCTATGCACAAGAGGGAAGTTTCAGCATTTCCAGGGCAGAATCCCAAATTTAGAGATGTGCAAAAAAACCCCCACAAGATCGCTTAGGGAAGGAACCCAAAGGATCCTCATATGGGCTGAGCATCCTCAGTGGGCAAAACATCAAAGGTTTGTAGGGTGGGGGACAAAAACTCAGGGAGGGAAGGGAGTATGGAATGGCATATCTTGGAAAGGGGCATGGCTGGCTGGCTGGCTGGCTGGAACTCTGAAGCCCTCTGATTGAAAGCAGAAGTCCTTTCTGACACTAGGGAAGTAGAAAAGCTCAAAAGACAGTTTCAGTGCTGCTCTCATCCTTCAAAATCCTCGGCAGTTGCGTTTAGTTTTTTCCTCTCTGCATTTTGAGGTCAGCCTGGGCCGATGGTCATGGGATCTCACCCCTTACCAGCCATTCCATGACAGTGTCAGAACAGGAATGGCTGATGGCAGGGAATTACACATTTCACCATGCCTGTGGCTCAAATCCTCCGGAAATTCTCCCTGTGACCCAACCAGGATAAGGCTGATGTCAGTGAGCCGGCTGCTGGAGTGCTTGCATGGGCTAACCCATATATAGGTCTCTGGAATCTGCCAGCTGTGACAGCTGTTTGCTGTGTAGCTTTTTGTTCCGAGGGCATCGGCACTCTGTTTTCTATGGAGCCTGGTACAATAAGCCCTGGCTCTCGTTCGGCGCTAATACATCTTGTCGTCAGAAAAAAATAATCGTTTAAAATAATAGGGCCAGCAGGACTCTAAATTACCACGAAATGTTCATTTAAAATAGCCGTGTTTCAGAATTCAGTCTGTTTATTGAAAGAGCCGAGGAGACAAATCTGATTTTTAGGTGTGTCTGTAAGATGGCTGTGCTTGGTGCAGCCTTCATCAGCCTAGTGCCCTTCAGATGTTCTAGACTACAATTCCCATCATCCCTGATCATAGCAGTGCCAGGTGGGGCTGATGGAAGTTGTAGTCTGGAAGGCACCAGGTTGAGGAAAGCTGGTTTCAGAGAGTGGTAGGATTAGATGATGTTGGGTTTAGGTTTTCTTTACTCCATTTCTTTATTTCTTTATTTATTTATAATAAATTTATTTATTTGGTTTTTCAGATTAAAATTTTACAGTCACATATCGAACATACAACATAACAACAAGATTCCAAGGAATCTCCTGGACTTCTCTCCTCCCCTCCTATTAATCATTTCCTCCTGCATCTTTGATGATAATCCTTTTTTTTTTTACATCGCCATTGTATCCAAAATTCACCATTAAACTACAAGTGATATTCCAATCCTGCTAACAATTTTAACTGTTTACTATGGTTTTTTAAGATAGGTTATAAATTTCCCCCATTCCTTATTAAAATCTTGATCTTCCTGATTTCTGACTCTTCCGGTCATTTTAGCCATTTTAGCATGATCCATCAACTTGATCTGCCATTCTTCTCTGGTAGGGACTTTATCTTCTTTCCATCTCTGGGCCAATAACATTCGCACAGCCGTGGTTGCATACGTAGTCTTTTCTGGTCCCTTGGGATTTCAGCCCTAGCATTCCTAAAAGGAAGGCTTCGGGTTTTTTAAGAAAAGCTTATTTTAAACATTTTTTTCAACCCATTATATATCATTTCCCAGAATTCTTTTACTCCGGGCATGTCCAAAGTCCATTTCGGGGGCCTAATCTGGCCCACCGGTCATTTTAATCTGGCCCTAGTTAATCCTAGTTTATTTCCTGTGGTAAAATCCTAAAATATAAAGAAAGCTCAACAACTTCAATCCTAAAAAAGGTCAACAACTTTGCTTGGCCATTTGGTCGGCCCTCACGGCCCTTCACTTCATCAAATCTGGACCTCTTTGAAAAAAGTTTGGACACCACTGTTTTACTCCATTACATTTCCAGCATACATTTGACCCTGTTTTATACATTTTTGCTAATTTACTAGGATGGTATACTGTTTATACCATCAGTGCATCACTTTCATTCTTTACTCCTTTTACAGAAGGTTCCTGTTTTCATCGCAGATGTGTCTGTGAGCACTTATTCTTGCTGCGACTTTATTCATCACCATAAGCAGCCTCTTGGTTGCTTGGAAGTTTGCACAGGCCATATTAGGGGAGTGGGATGAGGCCTGTGGGAGTCAAATGGATGAGGTGTTCCTGGCAACATCTTAGGCCATCTCCCCTGCCAGCAACAGCTGAAAATGAAAGAGGATAATGAAGTGCTAAATGATGGAGGAGCACCCAGGACTGCCACAATTGCGTTCATACGTCAACAGTCACTAAAAAGCCATTATCCTGGAATATTATCTCTTTACAACCTTTCGCTGAAGGAGAAACAGGATTGCAAAACAGCAGTTTGCATCTGCAACTGGTGGTTTAAGGCTTACAGGGAACCGTGTTTTAGCAGAAGCAACAAAGGTGAACATATCACAACCCAAATCCATCACCACCACTGAGGGTGTCAAGGTCATCATTTGGCATTGAAGATCCAAATTACTTTTGTTACAAGATAGGTTTTCCCTAACACGGCCAGCCAATTCGACTCAAAAGATGTAATTACACATTGACTTTTCCTGTTTTCTTTTCGTAAGCAATTACAAGTTCCTGGTCTTGTTTGCAAGATGGGGAAGCTCTGTCAACTGTGAAGACAAACACATTTGTAGGCCTGTCAGGTCCTTTCCCAGAGATGGTGCTTACAACTTTAAATATTCTATCCATCCAGTGACCATGTCTCTTACTTTACCTAGCATACACCGCTAGTTGAAAGGCTATATCCAGGCCGTGCCTGTTTTAAAGACAAAGAACCATGG